AAGCTTTTCCTGTGACACCCATGGAAGGAAGGAGATTGCCAGCAGAAGGGCAGTGGGATGGGTAGAGACAGAGGCTGCAGAGCTGAGCCATGCTTTAAATAATCTGTGACGATGAGCTGGGAGACAAGCCGGGAGCCTGTCAGACTTGGGCCAGCGGGAGTCAAGCTTTCGGGGAAGTGAGTGACCCTTCCTGCACAGGTACCGCTGCATACAGCATCTCACTTTTTTTCTCTTGTCTTTCTGCCAACTCTTTACTCACACAATTTTCTCCTGAGTATATTCAGGGAAAGGACAGAAAAAGGTCCCCCTGGAATTTGCCCCCACCCCATGTTGTTTTACCTTCCAATCCCATCACACCCACACAGCTTCCGGGAGAAGGACACGCAATCATCAGGAGAACCTGCCATTCTGAGCAGCTTCTTCCTTCCCCTCTTCCATGCACTGAATGGATAACGCAAGGAGAAAGAGAGCTTATAAATCACCAGGTGGCCAGAAGCACACCACCTTCTGTGCTTTTCTTCCTGCAACAAGGATTCCTAAAGTCTGCAAGAGACAAATATGTGAAGCATGGAGTTAAGACGGTGGGTGCAGAAATGAAGCGAACTGTTGAGCTGCAAGAGAACTGGTGTAACAGAATAGGAAACCACCCAAACTGCAAGGTGTCTACTTAAGACTAACAGTAGAAAAGCATGATCTACCAGCATCAGTGATGACTAGGTAAGATCATGGCAAGAGGACCGCGAGGAAGTACCCAACGGGATGACCCGTGTGATGTCCAGAGGAGAGATTGCTGATACAAGCACAAGTTGTGGCAGGTTGGCTTTGGGGAAATTCTTTCGGAAACCCAATGGCAAACCCAGTTGCTGATCAGAGAGAAGACAAGGACCCTCTGCCCTTGCAGCCCTGGCATGGAGGGGTGACAGACCCCCAGGTCAGCACCAAGTCACTCACTGCCATCAGCACAGGCACCCTGCCCCGATTGCCGGTTGGGTGGTCTGCAAGGGCACGACTTACCTGGTGTGGCCATGCTGTGTTGAGAGGTGGTGGTCCTGCTCCAGCCAGGCAACTCGTGTGTGAATGAGACAGTGTGATTGGTGTTTGCACAGCTGTCACTGTAACTCAGGTTAGGTGCTGTTTGTGTATAATTGAAGCATTAGTACCAAAACACATAACAGTAGTTGGACTACGGGTATCCTAGTAAAAGATGGGATCGTATGATTCAATATTCCCCATGTTGGTTGTCATCTGCTTCAGCCAGTACTCTCTCTCTGCAAATCGATCTTGAAGTTCCCAGCTTCAGTTGCTCTGTGACACCAGGCACCACCCAGCCTCCCCTCCCTCCCCCAGCCCCCACATCATTAAAAATAATTAAGCTCTTGTCCCGTGGTGTCCAGGTGTCACAAGACACCTGGTAAGTCTCACCTCTAACTACCCGCTGGAATAGCAGCGCTGCAGATGCTGCCCGTGGGGCTCAGCCCGCTCCCACCGAAGTGCCGGGTGAGCTGCTGGAGGGGCACCCCCAGCTCTGCTTGGCTTCCCAGGGCACAGGAGGGAGCCGCAAGTTAATCAGCAGTGCCCCGCCGTAGGTCAGCACACCCAGCTATCTGTTTTTTTCCCTTGTTTGTCATTTTTCCATCAGCCTCCATTTTCCTTCACATCTCTTTGGTGTACCAATTAATCCAGAGGGTTTTCATTTACTCGGGCCGTCCAAACCAGCAATACACAAATACCCCCCACAATCACTGCCAACAGCTCGTAATACATTTTAACTGCTCCTGGGCCTTTGATGTGTTAGCCTTCTGGGCAACATTATCATTACCCTTTATATACCTCCGTAGGTGAATGCAGTGCTGCACAGTGGCTTGCACATACTAAGTGCGAGCTAGGGTCTGCCTGTGCCTCAAATAAAGCACGTTGTCCTAAGAACCATGCAAGAATTGTGCCCCCTTTGCTAGCAAAACCCTGAACAAGACCAACATAATCACCAATAATATCCTGGGCTCTGGAGTGCTTATTTTCAAAGTGGATGAGCAAATATAGGAAGGAACAGGACAAACCAAAAGAGGCACTTATCTGGGAAGACGCCTTAGTGGGAGAAAGTAGCCCTGGCAGAGTCTGAAAGCGTGGCCACCACATCAGCATAAGCAGAGAGTGTGCCTTGCACGCGTGCCCGTGCTGGAAGCAAAAACACCTTTTAACCGAAGTGCCAGATACAGCCAAATTCAGGAAAATGTAACGGGCAATTTTTAGGGAGCCCAGGGGCATTGCAGTCCCAGACTGGGGCATTCTTCCCAACTTTGGAGCCATTTACAGTTTTGAGGGCTCTCTTAATGGAAACAGTTACAATTGCATTTCCAAGGGAACATAAATCAGCATGGGTGGCGTCAGGCCGATGATTTGGAAGGGCGCTTGGCCCAGCTAGGAAAATGCGAAAACATTCAAAGCCCTGAAAGCTTAGCTGGAGATGGCACAGGTTAGCCAAGCAGCCACATGGATCACAGGTGCTTACAGGAGGGGGGTGGAGAGACAAGCTCTCCGTAAGAAAGCAATTTTTGTGGGAAATGATGGGTACACGATGCTAATATGAGCATGCACAGTGGGGCCAGGAGGAGGCGGAGCAAAGTAATTTCTATGGAGAGCTGTCAGAGTCCCCAAGCCCAGCCTGCAAGGGAAGACATCCTGGCCTTGCCCAGCCAGGCTGTACCCTCTGCACTTTTCTCCCGATCTTGCCATCTTCTCTGATAAAAGGCGAAAAATGGGTCCCCCTGTCTCCATGATCATCCTATAAGCTGTGGAACAAAGCACTGCTCATCCTTGCCCTCCTCCATCCAGAGAAATGATATTTTATTTTTTTTGATACAAAACTATCTTTGATTGATCAGGCCAAAGCATAATTTCCCTATTGCAGGCATCATTCTGCAAAGGCTGCACTGGGCTGTGCCCCTGCAGCAAAAGAGCCTGGCATAGCGAGCACGGCCAGCCCAAAAACCCCCGGTTCTGCAAGGCACTCGGGCTGGATGAAACAAGGACTGCCCCAAAACATTGGGAGGGAGGCAGAGCAAGGGGCTGCTTGCAGCATGTTGCTGCATCAGCCCCTAAAATAGGGATGAGCCCCTTCACACTCCCCCTGAAAGCGCTGGTGGATAAAATAGATCACAGAGAGGAGCTATTAAAACAGGTCCAGCAGGGACCTGGTTTCAAGCAGGGCTTGGGGTACCGAACAATAGGCTGCCATTTTGAAGCGGCTAGAGCCCGGGGTGCTCATGACGACGTGGCAGACAACACTGTCGCAGGGCACAACCCTTGCTTGCAAAATACACGGGCCCCTGAGAGTTCATTGTGCAGCAGCTGCTGACGTGCAAAGCTAGCACTGAAAAACATAAACTGTGCTTTCTAAAAATATAGAAGAGCAGTGCCTGAGGGAGGGTGGCTCTGGGCGGGAAAAGCAGATGGAAGAGACCGGCGTTGTCACTGCATCCCTGCAGGATTTTGGGGAAGGCACCGTGCCTTTCTGTGCAGGGTCAAGAGCAGGGTCATGCTGGGGGGCCTGCTCACAGGAGCCACCATGCCGCACAGACAAGGTCCCCGGGGAAAGAGCTCCTTTTCTTTATGAGCCCTTGGGGAGATCACGTCCCTCCAGCAAGTTTTGCAGGCTGGAGGTAACCCTGCAAGCAAAGCTGCACGCTAAGTGGGGGACGAGGGGTGCTGCTGCCCCTGGTGAGCTCCCCGGGTCCATCCCCACCAGGACAGCAGGCTTCGAGGCCTCGGGGAGGTTTTGCTGCCTGGCAGGTCTGAAGCACATGGCCAGATGCACCCACGCAGGGCAGCCCGGCGTCTGACACTGGGGCGATCCCCACCACTGCCCTTCCAAGCCCTCAGAGATGGAGGGGGCTCCTCAGACCCTGCCAGCTGCAGGAGAGGCCAGCCAAGAAAGAGAGGCAGAAACAGTTAAAGTAGCTGGTAAATAAAATTCCCAGCAGAAAAACACAGTCTGGGCAGAGAAAAGCATCCTTTCCAGCACTGCCAACCCCACATAGTCAAAAATTACGCATCAGGCTCCAGAGAATCACGGCTTAAAAATCACAAGGGTTTTTGTTCTGGTTTCTAAAGAAAATTATAAATGTTTGAGCTCTTCCTAATTGCACTCTGGTTTCTTGAACTTTATGATTGCATTTTCAAACTTTTCTCTAAATCCCTGAGGGCTACAAAGTTCTACATTTTTATTATAAAATAAAGTTGAGAAGCTCACCTAATGCCCCCAGCTTTGGGGCAAACAGCAAAGATCAAAAGACTTATGCTGAAATGAGGAGAATAGGAAATACTGGAGATCTCGAGAATGAACACCCTGCAGTATACATCTCTCTCACCATTTTTCTCCAGTGTTGTGCAAAAACACTTTTAGAAGAGCTTTTGCTGTTGTAGCAAACATCACGTTGCTTACGTACTTTAGCAGATTTTCAGTGACATTTTGCCTCAGAGAACAATGTTGCTTGCAGCTGAGGGCTGCAAAAAAATTAAAACTGAGGCTGCTGTCCCAGGCTAAGGGGACCAGGAGAGCACACAGTTTCCAAGAGCATGTTGTGTGCTCTAGGTTGCTGCCGTTCACAGAGCAGGGAAGGTTGGGCTGCATCACCCAAGGTCAAACCCAGCCTGACCTTCCATCTTTAGCCTGATCCATACAGAAACTTATTGCTCAAAAGGGGCAGGTGGGGACCATCCAACTTGCTTTCTTCATCTCCAAAGGTGCTAAAAGGACTGCCATATGTCTTCACAGAGATACCTGTGTTACGGGGCAAATCAACTGTAATGAATGCATCTGTAAAAAGCTTAGTGATTGTCCAAGATTAAAAGCTGATCTGAGCATGGACTCACTATCGTGCCTCTCGAAAAGATCTGGCTTATAACAGCCTGCTTATCGATTGCTGCCTGTAAGAGAACTTGATGCTCTCTTTTGCACTGATCCTGTTAGCTTTACTTACCATAACGCTTGCTGGAACACCCTCTTGTAGAGATAATGGCTTCCTTTGGTTGCTGTCAGAATGAACAAATGGAAATAAAAACATGCCACTAGTAATTGTGTCCTATTCTAATTAAAGCAAGACAAAAGCACTGCACTGCTGGGTTTGGCTCACCATTGTCCGGGTGCTTGGACAAGCCACGGGAATGCCAATAACCAGAAGACAACGGTGCCTAATTCATCTGTGGAACTCAAAGCCATGAGGTTTCCACCAGCCCAGAAATTTGGCAAAACACCCAGGAGGACGAGGAATACATTTGGCACCCAGAACCAGATCCAGCACCCAGAGATGCTGCTCTAGACAGAGCTCAGCCCATGTGGGCCTAAGGAGCTGCAAAAGGTGAAGGCAGATGGTGAAGGACATGAATAAGTGAAGGTTTTTCAATACTCCTCTTGAACTTTTCATGTCCCATCTGCACCATGCAGAAAGGCCAATGCCTCCTCAGGCAGGAGGCAACAGAACTTCAGCAGGGTGGCACATACCAGGCAAATCCCAGCTCCCAGGGTGCTGGGGACTCTGAGCCCCCCTTGGACCAAAGGATGCACCATCACACCAGGCTTCCAGCCTCCCCAGTGATGCATCAAGGCATGGTGGAGCCCAGTACAACATCTCATGTCCTCCAGGGTCTTTATCCTAACTATGTCACCAGGAAGAAAAATGTGCCTTCAATCCCTGCCTGAAGAGGTGGAAGAGAGGCAGAAATTTGCTTGCCTGCATCCTACAGCAAGGGTAAGCAAGGAAACAGGTCCTTGCGAACAAGCACCGTAACCTCTGCATGTGCTGCCTTTTCAGTCTGAATCAGGGTCCCATCACAAGGGGGGGATGGATGAAAAAAAAGGGAACAAAATAAGTGGGGGAAATAGTCCCCCCAAATCCAAAATTAAAAGCACTGACATAACCACATCACTGGTTTCCCCAAAGGAGACAGTGGTAAAGCAGGGTGCAAGACCTAGGCCGACCCCAGCCATCTGCTCAATGGCTTTCTTGGTCCTGAGCCTCATGAAGAGGTGCTGTGCAGCTGCTGCAGCCATTTCTGCCTCTCAGGGAGTTCTTTGCTGCCAAGCAAGATGACGCTTCCTCTTCTCAAAGCTCCTAACACGCCTGTGGGAGAGAGAGAAGTCTGATCCTCCAACATGCACAGTGTACAGCTTTCCTGCAAAGTCTGTGAGTAACCACAAGAGGAAGAGAGAAGAGAGACAAGATCATTTCCAGGCACGGCGGTCAGTGATGCAAGGATGCCCAAGGAGCAGGCAAGAACCAGGCAAAGCCATGGCCTCCGCAGTGGCAGCATCGTTTTCCTCCTTATCAGCACTGGAACTCCGCAGTGTCAGCTTGGTTCTACAAAGTCAGGTATGCACCTAAACATAGCTCTGTTTTGGACTGCGTTACTTAAATATTTTCTTTTTGTTTTCCAAAAGAGAGCTTTTTCCTCCTCCTGCTGGGAAGGATGGTGGCAGAGGGCATCACAACAGAGTTGAGGGACAAGAGGAGATGGAGGTCAGCATGTTGACAGATGATCTACCCGAATTGATTCGCAGGTGAGGATTAAAGTTTCCAGGTGACTAAAGCTGCTTGGTTGCTGGCTGGAGCAGTGTCTCAGCAGCTTGAGGACAATCTCCAGAGCCACATCAGGACCTAGGTTTTGCAGACATCCCACTGACAACTGCAAAGGCACTGAGGAGCACAGGATGCTCCCCTCTGGTGCTGCGTGCGTGCTGCAAGGGAACCCCCAGCTCTCCCACTGAGCCCTGGCATGCAGGCACCGAATTGAGTGGCTCTGCGGCACTGCTGCTCTGCACCCACTGGAGAAGTCTCCCACACAGCACCTGGGGGCTTATTTCTAAGATTAAGCCCTGGTGGTAGTTTCCGTGCCTTCTCTTTGACATGGAAATTTCCTGCTGTTATCAAGGCAATTTGGCTGCCCTTCACATGGGAGCTTGGGGAGGAACACGAGGGGAAAGACTGGGCGATGAGTCTGCCTTTTCATAGACCTCCTGCTTCTCCCCTGGGGTTTGCATAAGGGTCTTGGACCCTTTCAATCCCTGGCTATTCCTGAACACTTTATTTCTTACTACCCATCTCCTTTATCAAATCTTCATATTCATCACATAGGAAGAAGAGCTACTTCATGTCACTGATGGAGCAGTTTAAAGCTATGGAGGTAAAACTCAAGCACAATCTACTCAATGAAATGATTTAAATATAAGGTTTGATGCAAGTGAAGCACACTCACCTCAGCTCAAGATGCAATTGCCCTTCACAGGCGTACAGCATCCGCAGCTGGAAGCTGGGCAAGGGACCAGGGAACCTCCTGCCGCCCAGATCAGCTCTCCCAAGCTCGTGCCAAAGAGGCTTCTCACCTGACCCAGAGAAAACACAGCATTTTCTGAATAGCTATCGCCCTGCAAAGGTCAGAAGAACAGCAGACAAAGCTCGTTTCTCTCCTAAAGCTAAGAGCAATAGTCAAGGCTATACGGATCAGATACAGGCTTAAGAGGGTCCTACTGGCCTGCTGATAGCATTTTACCAAAGTTTCAAGGAAACTTAAGCTGCCAGATTTTTATGAAGCTGTCTTTGACATCTGGTCCCTAAGGAAATGAGACAGTCAGGATTAAATAGACCCACTAATTACGTAGTTAACAAGTGACTACAATAGACAATAAACAATCTCTCTTTTCCCATGGGGAAAAATGAACATCACGAACATGAACACACTTCCTTCTATGGAGTTCCCCCCCAAAAACATCTGCCCTCAAGGCGAACCTGCTCCAGCACCACACTGACACCCTTCCTGCAGGCACAGGTGGCAAAGCCAGGACCACCCTCTGTATCCAGGAATGTGGGGTGCCCCCAATGCTCCCCTCAACCTGTGCAAGGATCCCCCTCCCATCAGCAGGGGGGTTTCTGCCCCAGACCTGTAGACTACTCCCCACCAAGGGAAAACTGAGCCTCTCCCACGTATCACCACGTTGCACTGGCTGCTGCGGGCTCCTCCGAGAAAACCAAGCAGCTATCACAGCGGTCAGAAATCCATGGCAACCTGTGTTTTCTGACTGCACAAATCACCCTTCTCCAGAAGTGGGCCTCTCTGTCTGGAGTAACTTCAAACCCCTCAGGGTAGTAACACCGCTGAAAGGACAGGGCAGGACCCTTCCCCGCCACCAAGGCCCTTCCTTCAGGTGCTGGTGAAAAGCCTTGCTCCAGAAGTTAGGAGGAAGAGGCCACCTACCGAAATGTTGGTCTCACTGGCTGAAGTGCCTCACTCATGCTCTTGGGAGCAGCTTTCCTTTCTTTAGAGCTCCCCACGCCGCTCAAGGCATTAGCAATGCCCACCTGGCCAGCAAGCTCAAATTTAAAACAACCTCCCCAAAACTGAGAAGAGGCGTCAGAGTCAGTTCATTTTTCACTGCTGACCAACCAGATCGTGCTCCAGGTGACACTACTGAGTCCTTTCCAGGTCTCTGGCTGAGACGAAGCCATCAATAAAGTCACAGGAGGGTGCATTATCCCCTCCCCTGGCTGTTTAAAATAAGTGTCACTAAACCAGACAGATGCTGGCGCTGTGTCTCAGCAGGCGCTAATTTAGCCCATACGGAGTGCTCTTACATCATTTGTTCTGGGCACAGCTTAATTGCAAAATTAATTATTTTCCTATCAGACAAAATTGTATAAGAGGGTAGTCATGGAATTTTTAAGCCTGATGGATGCTAAATGGGATTAGAGTAAATATAAACAACTGTGGCTCCTGTTTGTGCTCGGGACCCCTAAGAGAGTTGCACCGCTGGGGCAGGGAGCCAGGGAGTGCCCAGTGGTGAGGACAGGGCATGGCTGCTGCCGGGAAGGCAGGGGTGCGCAGTCCCAGCCACCCTGCCATGGGGCGCCGGGACGGGGCCCCCACCTGTGCCGGGACGCTGCAGCAGACAGAGCTTGGCCACGAAGCGCCGATTGCACGGCCACCCAACTCTGGCACATCCCGGCGGCTGCGGGAGGCCTCCAGGGCGTGCTGCTGGTATCATGGCGGGGCTTCCCCCACCCTGCAGGGAGCCAGCAGGACCGTGCAGAGCTGGGGGAGCCTCTCCAGCCCTCCTCACCCTGCCCCACTCCAGATGCACCCTTCATGGATCCATCCCCAGAACGGAGCTGGCATGGCAATATGATGGCACCTGGCATGGGGGTGAGGAGAGGGGAGTGTGGCCATCACCGTGGCATCAGGCTACAGCTGCCCCGGCCAGTGGTGCATGGCAGCTTGTGCCCAGACTGCTCCACACCAGATGGCAAGTGGTTTGCACCTCAAGACAAGCCCATTCAATTGGTTCTCGTTTCTGACCCTACAGAAGCAGGCTCGGACACAAGCAGAGCTAACCACCACCCCAAATGCACAACTTTTCCCATGACAGGGCAGACCAGACCCAGATTTTGATTGGGGGGCATCCCATTTAAGTGGGCTGCATCCTCAGGTGATGATAGAAGTGAAAAAAAACATATAGGACCCAAACTGTGGACTTGGGGGGAGCAACAGCTGGAATGAGTTGCGACAAGTCGTGATTGCCCTTGCAGAGGCCCTCCCTCTTCAACCCCCCGACAGCCACTCCAGCACAGTGCCCGCTGTGTGGGCAAATTGCCTCAAAAGCACGCAGAAGTGAGCAAATTGATTAGCCAAGCACATAACCATACAGCAAGAAAACCTTACCTGAGCAAAACAGGGGCACCAGGTGCCAAGGTCGCGTCTCGGATGGTGGGCCAGCATAGTGTGAAATCTGGCATGAATCACGTCTCCGCTGCTCTGATCAGGCGCATCTGCTGAAGTATGGCCTTTGGGTATCAGCTGGGCTGAACTCAAGTTATGTTAAGTTCTGTAAAAACACAGAAGAAATGACAATCCCAGCTGCAAACTGGAAAACTGGACCTCAGCTCCCCACCAGTGAAAGGGGCACATGAGCCAGTTCATGCTTATCCAGTGAATTTATGAAGCTGCATTATGAAAGCATGAAGCACTGACTCCTTCAGTGTCTTTTTAAGAGGAAAAAAAGTCCACAACACAGCTCAATTCCAGCTCCAACAGCAAGACTGCAAACTTGTACATGGTTTGGGTTTTTTTTAAAGTATCTCCTTTAATGCCTCACGTTTGTTAAGCATCCTACGATGCCTTTTGTCTGAGACTGTATCTCTGAATTTGAGACTATCTGACTTAATAAAAACCACCGAAGCAATGGCACCTGCGGTGAGACTTCATTGGTTTACGAGGCCTTTTACCCTGAGAGCGATGAGGCTCTGGGCATGCAACCACTGCCCTCAAGTGGCATGAGCTGTGCAGGACCTTTCACGAAGCTCCTTAGCTTTAGGCAGAGCAAGGGCACAGGCAAAAAGGCAGAGAGGCCTTTGGGCGGGGGGAAAGCTGTTTGAGCATATTTGGGCTGTGAGGGGGGAAAAAAAAGGGGGACCATTTAAAGAACATCTAGAAGTTTACCTTGTAAGAACTGAGGCCGGAAAGCAGTCAAAGGAAGGAAAAGGCACGCTCTGCCAAGGGATGAAACTAGGGGCTTGCTTGCCAAGCAGGCGGCTGGCTCCTCCAAGGCCAAAGCCTCCTCTGAACCAGGGCAGATGACGTGGCCACCAGGGCAGCAGCAGCCCATCGCAGGCTGCCAGCAGAATGCCCGTGCAACCACCCGGGCCCCACCGCCTCCCGGCATGGGAACATGCTCTTTCCTCCAGCCCCGCTCCTTGGTGGTCCCACCTCCCAGGTCCCACCACAGCAAGCAGTGGCCTTAGAGCTGAGATGCCACTCTTTGGCCATGTCTGAATGCAAACCCCCAGCTCTTGTGCCCATGTAAAACAACTGGATGTCTCCAGCATGAATCAGGATGAAGTAATGATCCTAATTAATTCTGCTTCTCTCGACCAGTCTCTCCCTTGGTTCCCATGGCGTTTCCTGTGTTAACAACTGAGAACCAGCAGGAACACTTGAAGAGTGAACAGCTAGCAGGCATTTTTTTAATTATTGGGGTAGTTGAAACATTCTTCTACAGCCCTGCAAAGACAAAGGGTGAGAGCATTACAACATCATTGTTTTAAAACCCTGAGCTGCACTGAGCTTGCTGGGGGGGTCTGAGCACTGCTGAGGCAGTGATGCTTTATAATCACTTAATTGTTTGACTTGACCTTTCTCGCATCTTCTAACAAAAAATCAGCACACAGCTAAAAGGCAAACACAGTGAAAACAAGCATTTCTTTAGGATGACTGGGGATCGATGGGATAAAAACCCGAAGGGAGGGAGAGAAAGAGAGAAGGAATTGCTGTGGGCTTTGCTCCTGCGGTTTCTTCTAATTCCTATGGGCCTTGTTCCCAAGCATGGCGGTGTGGTGCTCATGAGGGTGTAGGAGAAGCCGTGAGCATGGATGCACAGAGCCACAGGGAGCTGCAGGCACCGCTCCTCCCCGCTGATGGGGGATGCCCATGCTGGGCTCCAGAGCTGTTCTCGGTGCTTTTCCATCCTGGCTGTCAGCCTGGAAAACAAAGTTCCCAACCAAAGCAAGAGCAAGTGGGGAAGAATGGCTCCAACATTCCTGCCTGCCACCAGTGGCGTTTCCAGAGCAATGGGGCTGGCGAGGTTGAGCCTGTTGAGCTCCCAGATGAATAGGAGCAATGGACACATTACTGCAGCATTATAATGCCCTTCAGCAAAGGGTTTAGAGCTCAGCCATATAGCAGCAGACCTCCCTGGATAAAAATCCCTTCTCCAATCCTGCAGCAGAGAGAAAAAGACTACAGCCCTGTAACACAACTATGAATTAACAACTTCCCTATCTACAAGGCTCTTTTCGACCCAAGCTTTATATTCTGCAAGCAGAGGACAAGATTTTGCCAAGGGGGAAAGATTTTCTTGAAGCAGAAGGACTGAAGAGTGCTATCGCTCACCAAGCTTGGCCAGTAAGGGATGGAGCAGCGGGTAACCTCACTGAAGCCTCCTACAGCCACATCCGCAGGCATGTAAGGTAACCACATTCACTTCGCTCCGGTTTAATGTGCTCAGCTCTGTACGTTTCTAGAGTCCCACATTGGAACTAGGGGTTGTCTCAGGTCAATTTGAAGGCAATAAATGCCTTAAGCGAAGGCAAAACCTGCAGAGGGATCAGGGAGAGCAGCACCTGGGGATGGGGCAGGCAATGTGCCATTCCCCAGCACGGCAGATGCAGGGAAGCACGTCCCCTGTACAGCCAGGGGGTGGCAGGGGGATGAGCAGAGGTCACCTCTGCAGCAGCTGGAGGAACAACCTTCATCAGCCACCTCTCTGGTCCCTCTTCTGCCCGAGCAGCAGCCCCCCAGCTCCCGCTTCCCTGCACACCAGAGCTGTGCGTGCATGTTGTGCTGTGCAGCCTTGCACCGAGAGCACAAGGCAGGTTACAGTCTGGGGTGGGTGGAAGCTGCCATTTGACTTTGCTTGGAGAGCTTGGGTGATGCCTGCACCACCCACTGGATCATGATGCAGAGCACCTCAGGTCCTGAAAGCAACGCTGCTGCACTGCAGCGAGCACAGCTTTGCTCTGCAGAGGTCAGCTGCGTGGCTCATGCCACACAGAACCTCTTCTCAATGCTATGGAGGGACTAATATTTTGGATGTTGGTAAGGCTTAGAGAATTCATTCTTATGTGCAATCAAAATCTTTCTAGACAGCGACAGACTTACTGCATCAGGAAGAGAGACGTGAAGGCCCCTAAGCGTTTACGAGAGAAACTACTTGTCCATGGAGGAAGTTTTTTCCTAGCCCTTCTATTAAGAGATTGATTTATGGCCAGAAGCATAAGCATTTTATAACACTCGTTAAAAATAAAGTATCCTGGATACATTATGTTTTTAAGTGTTGCCTCAGCAGTATCTTGTGGACGAGAGTTGCTCTGGTTCATTTTCCTTTGTATGAAGTGCCCATCTTTAACAGTTTTGAGCGAGTCTCCCTCTCGCCCTCACCAGCTATGTCCTCATTCTCATGGTGCAAGCAGATGATGGAAGGGGTGGGGGACCAGAGCAGAAGCTACACAAACTGTACAACATATTACTGAAGTGAATGAGGTTCACAGCTGACTGCTGAAAGATGGATTTCTGTTTCAACAGCTGCTGAACGATAAGAGTGGTGGCCTGAAGGAGAGCTCATGTTTTGCTTGCATTAATTGGACGTTGTTTGGACTTCTGAATCAATCCCTTCATCACCTTCCCA